TCTCCTACAGCTATTTTTGGTTCAGTTTTGACTTATTGCCTTGATGTAACTTTTAATTACTGTGATGCTGTGGGTTTATTCCTCTTCTAAAGATCTTGGGAACATCAGAATGCATTGCTTTATAAAGTATCAGAAGATTTGAAAGAATGATCTGACACTTTTTCCTTCCACTCAACTTTCTACGAATATGCTTGCATACAGCCAGCTTCTTTAGCGATGCTAAAAAATGTAAAAAATCTTGCAGACTTAAAGGAGTGGCTATATTAGATCGGGAAGCACACGATGCTGCGTCTTAAATTTCATTTTCATTAAACACCAAAACATTTCTGTTAATTCAATGCAAACTCAGACCTGCTGGGTTTCTCTGCAGCTCAGTCGGAAAACATCTGAGAATTTCAGCTTTCAAGTCTTTCACATATTCTCATCTGGATTTATGTCTGGACTTTGACTAGGTCATTGTAACACATGAATCTGCTTTGATCTAAATTTAGCTCCATCCAGCTTCCCATCGAATGTCAAAGCTGCAGCTGTTGCACCTCTGACACTTTTTCCTTCCACTCAACTTTCTACGAATATGCTTGGATACAGCTCTCGATGACGCTTCAATTCGACAAGGCCTACAGTAAATGTCATCTAAATGTCAAATAATAAAATGATCTTACAGACAGAGCAGCAGCTGCAGGAAGCAAAAAGCACACAGAGAAATTTCTTAAATTTCATTTTTATTAAACATTGAAACATTTCAGGACATTTGGTCCTGAACTAAAAACTGAAATGAAACAGAGGCTCGACATGTTAAAAATGAAAAGTTCTACAGATTCTTCCTTCTCCTGTCGATGGATTTATACTGAACAAACTAGAGACATGTTTATCCATACGATGTGCAACAAAACGAACAAACCCTGAGCCCCAAACACTGATTCAGAAACTTGTTCAGACTGACCAGGAACTGCAGCTCAAACAGTCTGAGGCTGACGAGCGTCATAAATAAAATCCAGTTTCTCATCATTCCCGTATTTTCACAAACTGAACCTGAAACAAGAAAGTTTCAGGAAAATGAACCACAACAAGAAAAAAACTAAAATTTAAAGGAAAAGGACACAAAAAAATAAAACCAGGAGCTGGATGAGGATGCCTGCCGGGTTGCCATGGCGACATCAGGCAGGCTTGGTGGTGCTGTTGTAGACGAGCGTGTCCTGCTCCGACAGCGCCGCGTGGGCGGGGCCCGCCGACCGGCTGGGGGCCTTCCTGCGCCTCCGCAGGTAGCAGTACCCCACGATGACCAGCAGGGCCAAGACGCACACCGCCAGAATCACAGCCAGAGCGACGGAGCCTGGAGGACAAGACAGCGAGGTCACTTCCTGTCAGTAAGCAGGAAGGCGCCAGAGCGCGCGCTACGCTATTATTCAACAAACATTTCTCACCCCGGCGCTTTACGACCGTTCTGAGGAGGGAACAAAAGCACCAGACAAAATCTAAGAACGCTCCCTCTGCAAACCCTGGGCGGGAGGCTAATGCTAATGCTAGCATCGGATGAACAGATGACTCTGGAGCCAACTCCGCTGATGAAGGCGACCACCGAGGCATCCGGTTAAAACACGAGTGAAGCCTGATTTATGATGCTTCCACTAGGAAGACCAGATATTTTACAAATTTTGTGCTGCAAAAGTTTGGAATGGAGAAACGTCAAAGATAAACCAAGCTTCAGACACACCTCTGTGAGACACGCCCCTCTAAGCCACGCCCCCTTTGGTGCTACAATTTCAGCATCTGCCCGACCCCAGATTAGGATGGATGAACAGATGGATGGTGGTTGGATGACGGTTGGATGTCTCCTCTGGTCAGAGCAGCTTCCTCCTCATACTGTCTCCACGAACCAATCAGAAGTCTCGTAGAGGTCAAGGTGTTGATGGATTTTATTTGGGGGTATCAGAGTCCAATAAACGGACGCTGCTTTGTAAAAAGCTCGCCATGTTTGTTGTTTATCAGATAAAAGGTCAGTAAACATCCAGAACCTGAACCTGTCGGGGTCAGGCGCTTTGTAACGCTGGTGAACGTACCTGAGTCAGCAGTTTTTTCATCATCAGACCCGAAACGATCAAACATCCCTCTGGAAAACATGTTCCTCTCTGCAGAAACAGAAACGGAGAGCTCAGGTTTCCTGTAGGAGCTTCAGACCCCGAGGAGGTAAAACGTGTTTCATTAAAAACGTTCCAACTGAGGCCGGAGTCTGGACGCTCTGAAAACCTGTCAACATATCAGTGTCTGGAATCGGTCTATCAATAATTATTGATTTTAGTTTTAAATATCTGACATACTGCCAAACCTTTCCTGTTTTAGCCTCAGTTTTCCCTCCATGCTGCCATTTATATTTTTACGAGGAACGGTGGTGAAACCTGAAACTGCTGCTGCGCAAGTTACTCAACAGGTTGTTGCTAGGTAACCAATGAATGAGTGAGTTGCTAGGTAACCAATGAATGAGTGAGTTGCTAGGTAACCAAAGAATACCACCAACCCAGCTGAGCTGGTGATGAGCGGTTCAGAGGCTAAAGCTTTTCCTCATCCTACATCTCCCAGAATGCTGTGCGGTTTTGGATCAGATTGTAAGTGAAACGATTGAATATTCCATCAGACATATTATATATGGATATTGATCATGTGTCTAATGGGATACATATAGTTATTGATTGGTTGTCCAGGCCCAGCTGGACCGCATTAAGGCTGGATGATCTACCTACAGCTCAGCCTTTCTCCTGGTCAACGTTAGCTGGAAAAAGTTAGCATCTGTCAGTTCCTCTACAGGTTTCCAGAGCCACAGGGTTCTTGTTTTAGCTGGAGACCGGTTCTGGTTCTGTTGGGTTTCTAACCATCTATCTGAGCTGACAGTCAAAGGTTTCTTGTTGACAGAAAGAGAACATTAGCTTGAACTCCTTCAGTCCAACAGTTTCTCAGACCAGACGCTCTCTGGCAGAGTGTGGAGGTTCTTCAAGGCTGACTCTTCGTCTCGCATCGCAACCCGACCAACACCTGCTGATGTTCCTCTAAAGCCCAGCGTTGATCAACTCTTCACCTGTTACGCCGTCGCAGGTCTCGCTGCAATCATTCTCGTCCTGAAAGTTGTTCCCGTTTTCGTCGCAGCCACCGTAGATGAAGCGTAAGCACTTCCTGTCTTTAGGGTTGTAGTACCAGCGGTGGAAGTGTGCCCGACACGGGCCGGTACGAGGAGGCTCCACGCACTGAGCTGCGGAGAACCAAACGGAGCTGGGTCAGAGTCCAACCCACTTTCTCCTGGAGGACTGATCACCATGGCAACCGGAGGAGAAACTCACCCTGGAGGTCGCTGACGTTGACGCTCAGCAGGCGGTTGAAGGTCCGGCTCACTAGAGAAGACAAGGAGGATCATTTCTTTAGCTGCCATGTTTCCAGGATTCAACTCAGAACTTAGCTACGCCAACATTGTATTTAGTGGCAGCTAATGCTAATGCGCTAACTTCAACAATGTTGATAGCCACAATATGTCACAAAGACCAAGTTTTGTAGTTCTCACAGTCGATGACTAAAACCTCCTGCAGCTCCAGGCCTGAGGGTCTCCTGTAACTTATAGATGTGTCTCTACTTCAACACACCGGAGTCAGATACTGAGTCGTTAGCAGGACTCTGGAGAACCTGACTGCACTGAGGAGGAGATTCAGCTGCTGGATCCAGGTGTGATGGACCAGGGAGACATTAAGAGCTGCAGGACTCGGACCTCCAGGACCAGGACTGCCCACCCCTGAACTACACTAATGTTTCATTAGGAGAAGCTAAACGCATTAGCAAAAGCGCTCAATTAAAAATAGTTTGCTCTGTTAGTGGTGCATTAGCGGATTAGCATATGTTCTCCATCAGCTACGTTCCTCCAGTCCAAACTGGGAGAACGTAGCTGAACTCTAGCGCTGAGGGACGGTTCTGATAGCCTGTAATAAACTGCAGACTCAGCTAATCCAGACGGTCAGATGGTTTTCTTTAGCCCGTTTATCCTGATGATTACCTTTTCATTGTGCAGCGTGTCTGAAGCAGCCTCATTGAAAGGCCTCCAGAAGAAATCCGATCAGATTCAAGCTAAACTGAAATGGCCTTCAGACTCAGTAAATGACTTGATCTCATCCCAGTTTGCCCAACTGTCCCTCCAGATGCTGAACATTTTTAACTTTGTTTTGCTTTAATGTCAAATACGACACAGAGGTCTCCTGTATTTATGAAGCAATGCTGCACATTTCTCCAGTAAAGTCAGAACTGGTGGATAAACTGATCTTGTGTGTGATTACATTTGCTGCAGAGCTTTTCATCAGAGCCGTCGCTGCATTGGCTCACGCCGTCACACTCCAGAGCCCGGTCCAAACAGCAGCCGTCATCACAGGTCAGCTGATTGGGGCGGCACTGTGAGCCGCACTCCTCTGCGCACACACACACACACACACACACACACACACTTAGACCAAACCCTCCCACAGTAAGCTGATATGAAGAGTTGAGTAGTGAGACTCACTATGGAGGTTTACAGTGATGCTCCTTTCTGAGGAAACTGAGGACAAAAGAACACAGATTGTGTCACCAGGAGCTGGTTTGTGTCATCAACATCAAAGGTGTGTGTGTGTGTGTGTGTGTGTGTGTGTGTTACCTGTGACTCCTCTGCAGGCTGACATACACTCTGTGTTAAACAGGAAGTTGTTCTTGTTGGGTAAACAGCCTCCGTAGATAAACTTCTCACAGCGGCGCGTCGTCGTGTTGTAAAACCACCGAGGGAACGCTGCGCGGCACGGGCCGGTCTTCGGCGGAACCAGGCAGTACACTGAGGGAGAGCATGACATCACTTCCTGTGAGTGGCTTCAAACATGACCCAGATTAAACAGCAAGCCGCTGAGCAGCTGGTGTAAACACGAACCCACAGCAGGGCGTGGTGAAGGAGTGCTGCGGTGTTGACCTCCTGGTAACCATGGAGACGCTAAGTGTTTCACAGCCAGGACCGCGGCTGTCACGAAGCCGGGACCACTCAGAACCAGGACCAATACTCCATCAAACAGTTTGACAAAACTCAGCTAAACTGCTAAACTAAAACGATTGTCAGATCAGAGAGCCGACCTGGCAGAGCAGGTTCTGCTGAGCAGGCCGTGTGAAACTGTGTGTGTGTGTGTGTGTGTAAATAACCAGTCCAGCCAGTTTGACGAGAGGCGTCGATCATCAGCATGAAAACTGGGATTCAGTTCACCAAACATTAGCACAACAAATGCAACAAATGCACTGATTCACTTTTCACTGCAACTAAAAGCTGCAAATTATAAAATAGTTTTAAATCAGTGAAAAACTTTAACTGTCAGCATCTGAACCAAGAGTTCAGAAACCAGTTAAATCAAGTATTTATGTCAATATATTATTAAAATGCAACTTTACTGTCAGGAAATCCTAACAGTCAACAGTTAGTGGATCCACAACAGGAAGTTTACCAGTTAAACCAATAACCGACTGGGAGCAGATCCCTCAGAAACCAAAGGGAGGTGACCAGAACAGTTAGTAGATCCCTGAATGAGTCACCTGACTGGAGGTTTCTCCTTAAAGCTTTCCACTGATGAGTGGATCCTTCAAAGAACCAATGGAAATAAAGAAACCACTCAAAACTGGTGCATAAAGATTCCTTAAACGATGAATCTGGATTCATTAAATGTTTCACTGCCGGCTAGTAGAACCCAACAGAAGAGACTAAGTCTTGAAATGGCCAATCAGAAGTTAGTAGATCCCTAAAGTTTTACCGGTCAAACTTTAAGGGACCGACAGGCAGTGGATCCCTTAAACCGCCTGCAGGTTTCAGACGTTTCCCTTCAGTGCAGCTGGTTTTAACTGACGGTTGGTTGACAGGTATTTACTGAGCAGCGAAGCATCAAAAACATGCAGAGCGCCGCGGCGATGGGAGCAGGGCAGGAAATCAGCGTCTAAACAATGAACAGATGGGAAGAGATCCATTACACCAGGCCGGCCCAGCGGATTCGTCCTCCACACCTGGAGTAAGACACGCCTCAAGTAATCCACCAACAGGCAGCAGGATCATAAAGTTTACACCTTAACCCAGCGGTGCCCAAAGTGGGTCCTGGAGGCCCGGCATCTCTCCCTGGTGGTAGAAACAACCTTTCAGCTTGTCAATGTTCCTCTTAGATCTTCTAATGAGCCACCATTGGATCCAGGTGCGTTAAACCAGGGAGAGGATGCCGGGCCTCCAGGACCCACCTTGGACACCCCTGCCTTAAACCATCAACTAGAAGTCAGGAGATCCATCAGAAAAGCAACAAACTTTGTGAAAAGCTGACAAAGTTCAGTTCAAAGTTCAACCAACAGGAAGTAGATCCTGTTAGAAATGAATCGATCCCTCCAGGTCAGAACTGACTGAGAAGATTCCTTAAAAGTTTCCCACCTGGCAGCAGATCGCTTCAACACTCGACTGACCGGGAGACGACCCGTCAGCAAAACCCTGAGCCGATTCATGACCAACTTTAACTTTATGAATAAACTGTTAGATCCTTCAGAGGAACGATCTGAAAACAGACGTCATGCTAAGCAATCTGTCCAGTTACCGGCAAACCGATCATGTGCATCAAACATCAGCAGCAAGGCCTACATTTCCCATGAGCACTCACAGCTGGACAGCTCTGGGGTGAGGACCATGATGGTGACCGTGTCATGGCCGCTCTTCCCCTTGGAGTCTGTGACGGTCAGCTTCAAGACGTAGGAGCCCGGCTGCAGGTTGGAGAGCCTCACCTGGTCGTCATGGTTGGTTTTCTGCAGGAAGTCAGAGGAAAACGGGAGAACTTAACGGGCCGGTCAGCGGAGAGACAGGAAAACGCTCTGATGGATGGAGAGACGCGACTACGACCTCAGAGGAGACGGAGCACAAAATAATTATACGCAAGTAAAAGTAAAAAGCATCCGTCCAAAAAATTAACCTATTAAATTATCTATCATTTAATATTTAAAAATCACATCATCAGACGGACCAAAAGTGGAAATGTTGGCATTTCAAGAATGAAAATGACAAAAATTAACATAAGTGACAAAATAAAATGTTTCCAAATCAGTTTCTTTGAATAAAACAAACTTCAGAAACTGCAGCTGTGTGTCTGTCTGGTGAGGTTTTGGTTGAAACACGTTTGTTTTTCATTCAGCGGGAAGAAAATCCAGAAATGTTACTAAAATAAGAGCAGAAATACTTCATGATAAAATGACCCAAGCAAAAGTAAAAGGACAAAGTGGATTTTTTCAAAAAAAGTTACTCAAGTAAATGTAACTGAGTAAAAGTAACTAGTTCCTACCCAACTCTGAGCTCATGCCTGTTCAGACTGGACTCTGGGATGAATCGGGCCAGCCTGAACTCCCAGCAGCTCTAAATGGTTTGCTTTGACGTTCTACTGACCACCTGAGGACCAGGTGAAGCCCCGCCCCCTGCAGGTGTTACCTCCAGCTTCAGGCTGTGGTCTCCGCTCTGCAGAGTCCACTTGTAGTCAGAGATCTTAGCGTGGTGAAGCGGTATGCTCTCGGAGCCGTTGAGCGTCACGTTCTCTCCGGGCTGCAGGACGACGTCAGGGCCGGCGTTGGCGATGGGCGGAGCCAGCTCACCTGGGAAACAGCAGATCTGTTTACGACACGACACTGAAACAGCGTTTCCTCCGGAACAAACACTTTGACTCATTTTCTTATCAGAGCATTTCAGATGAATGTCCTCCTTGTTAAAGGGACAGTTCCACTCAGTGTCTTCACTTTATCAAACTTGAAAAAGAAACACATTAGCAATTTGACAATTGATTCAAGATGAAAACTATGATGGCTGCAAGCGCCGAAAACCATTGAAAAAAAACCCCATGAATGATGCAAACTCCAAAACACACAAAACAAATGCAACAGAAAACTTCTGCAAACACAAGAAATGGAAGCAAAGCAAAACAAAACAAAAGCAACAGAAAATATGAAACGCTGCAAACTTTCTCTACAAAACGGAGGTCCTCCAGACCACTAGGGGGAGTCTGGAGGAGCTTTTATATACACAAATATGCCGCTTTCATGAAATATTGAAAAAGGCATTAAGTGTAGTGTGCCTTTTCCATCTTTCTTTTGAATATTCTGCCTTTACTGAAGGTCTGGTGTCATGTGATTTGGTGGCCGACTCCCTCTAGTGGCCTGGAGGACTTCCTTTTTCTAGAGCAAGTTTGGAGCATTTCAGATTTGCTCATTTTCATTTTCCTCTTTTTTTCCATTTCCTGTGTCTGCAGTGTTTTTATGTTTGCGCCCGTCATCAACAGTAGAAAATTCACAGAACGGGGAAATAAACGCCAATGAGACGGCAGCCAAGAAATTTCAAATTCACAAAACTATTTATCGTTGCAATTCAGCATTACAGACCATCAAGAACAAACAACATGCAGTGTTAGCCAAGGAAAGAAAAACCTTTTAATCAGCATCCTGTCACAAGGACACAACTTATTCCCAATTCTTGGTCTTAATCTACATAAATAATCTCAAAGATAACGCCGACTCCAGCAGGCGAACAGCAATTGAGACTCACATCTTCAGGAACGGAGATGAAATCAGCAAGCCTCTGATCCCAGACTTGAAACAACCGTCGTCCTTCAGTTTATTATCTTTCTTACAAAACGTTTTCAGCTGATAAACTCCTTGGAGAACATTTCAAATTCCAGCTGCTGGTGTCAAAACCATTTTATACACCTAAATTCTCTTGGATTGACTTTAAACAGAAAAACTGTGCCATCTTGAGATTTGCAAAGTGGTGACAGTGACTGTGAATAAGGCTCTCTGCCCAGGGCAGAAAGCAGCCAGGGGCATCACAAGCACGCTGTGGTTCTTAAAGTCATCCATCTGTTACGCAAGAAGTTTTCCTGTGGATGTTTACTTGTGGAGGACTGGGCGATAGTCAAGCAGATGTTGGTTTTCCGAGTCTGTCTCTTTAAAACTCAGTCTGACGTGTGAAAACAACAAAAACATAACAATTAAAGGCAGATCTCTGACTCATATAAGCTGTTTCAGTTTCATAAAAAGTTTTAAAAGACAATTATTGATTGACAAAGTAAGATAATTTAAAGAAATTAGATCTGGATCAATCGTTCTGCTGAATTAAAACTGTCCTGCATTTCTCTCTGGTGATTTGTTGCTATTGATTAGGTATTGATTGGTGTTTGCGCCCTCACCTGGTGCCTCCAGGTATCTCTGGTACGTGCTCCTCCTAATGTAGCTCTTGTATCCGGCCTGGTTCACAAACCGACACACAAAACGATTTTTATGGACGCAGTCAAACAGGACGCACGTGCGCGTGTCCTGCGTTTCCTCGTCGCGCGGCTCCAGCAGCGCCAGGTTGCAGCGTGGGTCCTTGCAGCACTGCGTCTCGCACTCCTCATCCACGGACACGGCCTGCGTGTCCAGCAGAGCGGCGCCGTCCTCCACCGCGTCCTTCGCGTCCAGAACGAAGTTCTCACTGCCGGAGACGAACGCGTCGCCGCCGCTTTCGCATTGTTCTGCCGCGCCGCGCCGCGCGCCGCGGAGCAGAACCAGCAGCAGCAGAGAGGAAGTACAGAACCGGAACATTTCGGTCAGCTCGAAACTGACGAGGAAAATGGAGAAGAGTCCGCCTCAGTCCGACAGAAAGGGAACGTTTGAGCCGCTCCTCAGCGCGCGCTGCTTTGGTGTGTCTCACCTGTTGCCTGACAGGAAGACAAAACACACAGCAGGCCAATGAGGTGACGCGCCTCTGACGTCACTCAGGTGTGGCCCACAGAAAGCAGAGGACAGGTTTCAGGGAGAGGAGCAGAAAAAATTGGTGGCACTGCAGAAATGGATCCCACTGTGAGCGATTCCTGTTTTCACCACAAACCTGGAGAGAAAATCACAACATTTAATGTTTTAAAGAAGGAAGAGGATAAATCTACACATTGGCAAGTTTTATCTCCTGTGACTACAAACGGATAAGCTGATTTCAATTTTTTTTTTTTGACTGGTTCATCCAAAGTCACAACAAATAGATATGCGTTGATTTTATTCCTATATATATTTGAAAATACTTATGTCAGTTTGTTATCTTTCAGAGGGTTCTGAGGAGAACATCTAACCTAAACAAATAAAAATACATTAAAAAAAAACTTTATTTGATTTTTTGTTTAGGTTTTATCTTATTTTGTATTATTAATGTTAATTTATTCTTGTTCTTTTATTTCTTCTTCAACAAAATAATTATAAAAAGAATAATTATAATTGGAATAATACTAATAATACCTCTAATAATAACTCTATTATTATTATTATTAATTATTACTATTATTATTATTAGTAGTAGTTTCTCTAGCCCTTTTTTCATATATTGAAAATTCTACTCACTGACATAAGTTAATTATGACTGTTGATAACGGCAAGTTCTAAGGAAAATATTGGAACAGCTTGAGACCAGTATAATAGCAATATTAAAGGGTAAAAAGATCAAAGTATTGCCAAAAAAATGAGTTAAAACAGAATATTTATGGTGCAGTACAAGTTATAGCCAGTAGGGGCGGTGCAACACCCTGGGACCGATCATATGCGCCAGAGGAAGCCAGCGAGAGGCTGTGACGAGAGCGGGTTGTTTGAATCTTGTTTTGGTCTTCTTCATAACACTTCCGGTAAGAAAAACGTGTTTTATTATTGTTCTGTAATTAATACTTGAAGCAAAACGTGAATCCTTTCTTCGCTGGTGTTCACAGTAAGCATTTATGAGTCTAACGGTTCGTTCGAACGATTTTTATCCACGTCTCTGACGTTTTCAGCCGAATTACTGACAGTAAGAACGCCAACATTTGTGACGCTAAACCTAAATACGGCCTAATACAAGCCCTTGATCAAATTCGGCTCAGAATAAACAACAACCACAAAGTGATGATTTCCATAAAATCGGACGGCTGAATCCCAAATCCAAGATAGTGGAATAAACTGGTAGTTTCCAGACAGTGGCGCAACTGCACATTATTCAGGTGGATGCGAAAACATAAATCGGCGCCCCCCCAGGCGACGCTACGTGGAGTGTAAAACTCGCTACATGTACCTCGTTATGTGCGAGAGGTGAAGGAGCGTGAGGCGCTGAACTGTATGGGAAAACATAATCGGCGCGTCGCCCCCTCCAGACGGGGTTTTGGCGCCCCCTCTGGTGCTGCGCCCCTATGCGTTGCATACGCTGCATACCCACCTTTTGCGCCTCTGTTTCCAGATACCCTGGTTTAATTAAGCCTGGGCTTAATTCCACAAAAGCAGAAGCACATAAGTTACCATGGTAATTTATCCCGTGCAGCTGTCCTGCTCCATGCCAGGCTAAGTTAATCCTGGTCCCTTCAGCGCCCAGTCAGCGTCATAACGATCAGAAGCCAATATGTTCCGTTTTCTTACCTGTCTTTTTTAACATTATGGCTTAAAATATCCCTGAATCATGTTGGCAGTTGTATTATTATTTTAACATTATGTGCATTGTTACTGTTCGATTATGTTTCTGAAAACTGCTGTTCTAATAACGTTTACAACCTAAATTAACTTTAGTTTTGGCACATTATTAAACAAATGCACAGTTTAAGTCACAATATTTCAGACTTGTACTTATTTACGTCATAAACATACCTTGTGTGTCTATCAAGAGGGCTGCCAAAAGCTACATACATTTTATCTCCGTCACAACTTATCTTATCTCTTTAGTTTGCCGTTGAGCTGCTTTTGCGCTAACCGTTACGCGGGAAGTTGCCCCTTCAGAATAAAAGCATGACAACTCAAACAGGAGGTTTGCCATAGTTAGAAATAATTAAAGGTGATAGGCGATTTTTATGGTTTCTCTTGCAGAATTGACTTGTTTTTTTTTTAGATAATTATTGCACAAATGGCTTGTAAATTATTTATTTTATTTTTTTACATCATCACTTGAATATTCAACTAATTTTGAGATGAGAAGGCTAATTTTCTTTAACAATTATGAGCTTGTTGATAGTTATTGATTCTTTGTTTCTGATCGATGCAGGTGCAGAGATGGAAGGATTGTCCGTCAGCTCTCTGTAAGTGAAATCTGTAAAGCTAAAGCAGAGCAGCTTTATAATGTTTTTTCAAACTAAATAAAATATTACAGTTTACTAACTGATTTAAAGATTCAGTTGAACTTTAAGTATTATAGATTATAAATCAAATTATTTGTATATTTCTGTTGATTCTGGTTAATAAAAAACAGCAAAATTAAAATTTTTACAGTATTACACATCACTAAAAATTATATATTTTAAAAATTAAAATAATTTATAGTCTTAAGAGTCATGAAGAAGACAGTTGTCACATGTTTGGCAAGAATTTTAAACCAACCTCTAATGGTAATAATTAAAGAAACTGGCAATATTTCAACAAATTATTGGAAAGTTGAGTGGAAGGAAAAACTCACACAAACAGGAATATTTGGTTTTAATCAACTATTAAAACAAATATTAAAATAAACACTTAAAATGTGATATTCCGGGTGTAATATATGCACAAATTGTTAAAAGAAATGATCTGTTTGATGGCTACAGGTCAGCCAATCAGAGCACGGTGCAGGTGAACATGGGGGCGGGGCTTCATGATGGGGGCGTGGCCAGCCAGTGGAGCCCTTACTGTAAAGAGGACCTGATGAGAGGAGGGGAGGAGCTGTGCTTCGAGGAGCTGCGGGCTGAAAGATACAACCAGCAGAAACAGAAGGAGATGGAAGGTGCGTTCGCTGTCCTAATGATGCCTTCACTGCCTGTGGGAAACGAGAGTTGGCGCTTCAGTTTCAGCTTCTGGTTGCTTCCTGCAGAGAAGATGCGACACCTGAAGGAGCAGCAGGAGCAGCTGAGTCAGGAGCTGGAGGAGAAGAAGAGGCTGCTGCTCAGAAAGTCCCAACAGGTGGGTTCTGACCCGGTTCTGGTTCTGCTCACTGACTATGACCATGGACTCACAGTTCTCTTTCTCCTGTCAGATCAGCAACGTGGATCAACCTGCTGCTGCTCCCTTCAAAATACTGGATGAGTCTGGTTCCGAAGAGTCCGTCAGGTAACCAACTATAACCGGATCAGAACTGGACCGGAACCAGAACTCCCCCATCTCACCATCTGACTGTTGTTCTGCAGGAAGTCGGAGCCATCCTCAGACGAGCTGCCAGACGACGTCTTCCTGCGACCCGATGAGAAGGGACTGTGTGTGAGGGTCCAGTTTCCAACCCGACCCGACCAGAACCACCAGCAGAACCGGCCACCAGGTGACCAGAACCTGAGCGCTGGAGCAGGAGATGCTTCTAAAATGATCCGGATTTTATTTTCCTGATCTTATGACTCTCATAATTTTCTGACTTCATTAATTTCATTAAAACTTAATTTAATATTACGAGAATAACGAAAAAATTCTAAATATTATGATAAAAAATTGTATCATAATATTTTGACTTTATTCTCATGATAGTAGAACTTTTTTATTTTTTAAATTTAAACTGTATTTTCTTAATATTACTTTTAAAAAGTCATAATATTACAATAATAAAGTCTGTTATTAAAAAAATTATAATATTTTGGCTTTATGCTTGTAAAATTGCAACTTTATTCTCAGATTATTACAAATTTATCTTGTAATATAAAACCAAAAATGATTAGCTTGTTTCCAATACTCCGTCGTAGAATTCAACTGTTCAGCACAAAACATGCCGAAGATACTCTGATTGTTCTGCTGAGGCAGCAAAGGAAAAATGTTTTATGAATAATGAAAATACACAACCTGACAGACGTGTCACTTACAATATAAAGTAAGAAAAATAACAAGAAGTAAAATAAAGAAGTTGCTGAAATTTTGATGATTTAACCTCAAAATTCTCCTGAAACTTCCTGGTTTTCAATCATTTTCTTTAAATTCTGTTAAACTCAAAGGATTCATGGTTTGATTTTCCCTCCATCAGATCAGGCTGGTGGTTCTTATGTGTTCGGTTTGCTGACGCCTGTCTGATCTCAGGTCAGCCGAGTCGGACCGAGCGGGACCTCCGGGCCGAGCGGGACCTCCGGGCCGAGCGGGAGCTCCGGGCCGAGCAGGACCTCCGGACCGAGCGGGACCTCCGGACCGAGCGGGACCTCCGGACCGAGCGGGACCCGGATTCCCAGGAAAGCGTCTCTCAACCCAAAAAGCAGCTGAGCCCCATAGAGGAGATCAGTGTGGAAGCCGCATCCCTCACTTCTCCTGGAGAACTGTCCGGGGGGAACTTCAGTCCACTGGACCAGAACCAGAAGCTGGACCAGAACCAGGAGCAGGAGCAGAACCAGGAGCAGGACCAGGACCAGGAGCAGAACCAGGACCAGGAGAAGAACCAGGACCAGAACCAGGAGACTCTCAGTCAGTCTCATGGTACGGAAGGTTCCAGGTTCCTGAATTAGAAAATGAAACGGATGTTCGTTTTGTGAGTGGGTTCTGCAGAAACGGTTCTGTTCTGGAGTTCTGATTTGTGTTCCAGCTGTAGATCCCTGCGACCCAGAAGTCCGTCGACAGCTGTTGGATCTTTTTGACATCACTTCCTCTGCAAACCTTCATTCGGAGCAGCGCCCCCTACCTGCTGTTGAGGAGTGCAGCCTTCTGGACCTCGGTATTATTCTGAACTTAGGTTCTGGATCGTTAACTCCAGATTGGGATTTTTAATTTGTAGCGATTACAGCTGAGCAGGACCTTAAAGGCCGACCTGAGGAGTTCCTCAGGGACGAGTCCTCAGTCCCTCTGCTCTCTACTGGTTCACAGTTTAGACCAGAAGTTTACATTCACCGTTTTTCCACTTTCTGAAGTTAAATCAGACCAAACTTCAGTTAGAACGTCCAAAATTATTTTAACTCCTAAAAAACTTAAGAACATTTTTTTGAAGATTTTTAGAAACTTCTTTTTCAAATTATAGAAGTTTACATACATCTGGTCACTATCGGAGTAATTTACGTTCAAACTGTATGACTTGGCTCAAACACTTCTGGGTTTTGTTCACAAGCTGCTGATATTTTCACTGGCAATTGGTTCAATACCTGTGGATGTATCTTAAGTAAACTGGGTTAATTTACCAGAGTAAACTGGTTTTTGTACCAGTTAAGGTTAATCTTTTTTTCCAACTAGGCCTGTCATGATAACAATAAATTACTGCATGATAAACTATTAATTTATCACACGGTTAATTGATTTATTGGTTATTGTGACAGACTTTCTGTTTGCATGTTAAATCTGCAGGTTTCAGTTTTTCTTTCTTTTTGTGAAAACTAGTTTTCCTCAGATTACACACAAACCAAAACAAACATTTCTCTGTTTTAATCGATTCTCTGGCTGCTACAAATCAGAAAATATTTTTTCTAAACTCACTTATGATGCTGAAGTTCGGAAAACGTGGAAAACCCCAGAAAATGTTTTCTTCCATGTTGAACTAAAACTCTTCAGCCTGGAGGTGGAAACAAGCCGGAGCTGCAGGTTCATCCTGACTCAGCAGCCATGTTTTCCCCAAACAGACCCTCAGCAGGTCTGCCTCCAGCTGACGACGTTTAGCCTCAGAAAGATGAAAACATCTTGAGTCATGTGACACCGGGCCTGGAATTAAAGGAAATCAGCTTTACTTTGCTTTGTCCACTAGGGGGAGACACATTCTTCATTGAAAGCAGACTTCTGGACAGACACAGCGTCTCCATCTTCAGAGCAGCTGCAGATAATCAGTCTGTGTTTATAAAGGCGAGTCTTCCTGGTTCTGATGGGCCCAGCTGGCCGCCTACTGCCTGCTGGTCACGTGACTGACTGATGCTTCCTGCTGCAGGTGGAGCGCTGCTCGGCCCCCTGGGATTTCTACCTGTTCACCCGCCTGAAGGAGAACTCGCCGTCTGCTGACAGAGCTGCTCTGATCAGCTGCTTCCTGTTTGAGGACGGCTGCGTCACCGTCTACACGCCGCCCGCAGACCACCAGCTCACTGTGAGACCAGTCAGTCAGATTCAGTCTGATCTCTGGTTTCCAGCTGGAACAACTGAATCTGTTCTGACTCTAGATCTATAACTCTAGATCCTCCCTCTTTAGGTCCAAAGATCATAACTTCAGTGTCTGTTCAGCTGGAAAACATTTTGTCTCCCCTACATTGACTTGTCCTCAGGATCTGCTCAGTGCTTTAATGGGTTTAACTTTATTCTCATAATATTAAGTCATACATTGATGTAAAAATCAATATTATGATTTGGTTAACTATCACCTTTATTTTGCATCCCATGATTCTTTAAAGAAGTCATGATATTACAAAAATAAAGTCAGAATATTACAGGAATAAAATGCTACAATGAATGTTTTTCTCAAAATGTTTTGGCTTGAACGGGTTCAGAGTCGCCTGCGACGCACAGCTGTGCATCATGTGCGTTGTCATGGTAACGCTTCCCTGTGCATCATGTGCGTTGTCATGGTAACTCTTCCCTGTGCGTCATGTGCGTTGTCATGGTAACTCGTCAGTTTTCCCGGTAACCTGGTGTGTTCTGTGGTCAGGTTGTGGCGGACTGCGGCCCGGATCTGGCGCGTGTCGGCGTGACAGCCGTCAGGCTGCTGGAGCTGGTGCTGCAGCTGCACGGCTGCAGCCTGCTGCATGCGGGGCTGCAGCCCGGCGTGCTGGCCTCCTGCGGCGCCGCGGCGAACCAGGACTGGCTCTTCCCCCTGGACTGGTCGTCCTCGCTGGACCTGGATCTGCAGAAAGACGTCCGGTCCGTCCAGCAGATCCCGTCCGCTCAGGGCTACATCAGGTTGGGTCTGCTGCAGCCCGCCGACCCGCCTCACACCGTAAGCACGCCTTCGTCACGTTAACGGCCCCCAGCTCAGAACGGGTCAGTTTCACCGGGTCTGTTCCGTGTCCTGGCAGGTGGACCTGGTGGGCGTGGCTGAAACCATCTACTTCCTGTTGACCAACAGCGAGATGAAACCAGAGAGACACGGCAGCAGCTGGACACTGAAGCAGTACGGTGGAGTCCGACCCGGTTACCGACATGTAGAACAGAAACACTCAGATACAGCTGGTGGAGCCCAGTAGGAACCACAGGAAACTGGGTTTATTACTGCTGGAGTTCTCATTTTCATCCACCAGGTCCGTTTACCCGTTTCAGGACCAGAACCCCTCAGTTCTGTAAATTACCTTGAGAAATGATGAGATTTGGTTACATAAAAACAGGCTTTAATGCTGAAAAATGATCAAGTGTTACAAGCCATACATGTCATAGAAATGGATCAGAACCAGAGTTGCACTGGGCTCACCTGATGGATGGAACCAGGTGAGGTGAAGAAGTTTAGCTTCTATTCCCAGTCTGTTCCCTCCCTGAAGGCTGATCAGTCTGTCTATGTGTGACTGACATAAACATGGTTATGTCAGCTGCAGTGTGTAAGCAGAGGAAAACACAGAATCCACAGCATTACACTGGGTGAACTGGTTTTATCTACCACAGTAAACTGGTTTATCAGAGGCAGTTTAAATGACTGCCTCTGAGTTTAACACTGAAGGTTTAAAATGTGGCTGATTCCTTTTCTTTCTGCTGCAGCGACGTCTTCACGTCGACCTGGCGAAGGTTTTTCGGTTTGCTGCTGAACGCCGGCGGTCGCTCGTCCATCTCCATCCTGTCGGAGCTGAAGGACCAGCTTTCTGAGCTTTACCTGTGAAGCACCTGGGTTACATGTCGTCTGTTTAATATTTGGTTTCATTAATAAATAAAACACTATTTGTTGCAGCCGCTCTTTGGTTTATTCATTTGATCATGGAACCAGCAGGGGGCGCTGTAGGTAGAAAAATATTTTCCTGTCAATAGAGATTATTCTCAGACATTTCTGAAAAAAACTCTACATTTTTTTTTTTTTTTTCCAAATAAATTTCTGACAACAATCTCAAAATTTCTGAGGTTTTCAGAGATAAAAAAAAATTTCACTTCTGGCAAAATTTTAACTTTTTTTAACAGAAATTTCTTTTTTTTTTAGAACATTTCTAATATTTATTTCAAAATTTGAGCGTTTTTATAGAAAACTTTTGAATTTTCAAACTTAAAATTTTTCTTCTAAATAGTTGAAAATCTCTGATTAAACTCAAAATTTCTGAGTTTTTGCTAGCAAATTTTCAGCTGTTTGAAACTCATTTTTTAAATTGACTTTTCAGACTCCGAAATGTTCTAATCTTTTCTAGAAATTAATCTAAAAGTTTTGTTTTACTAGCAAAATTTCAACTTCTGAAATTCAAATGTTTTTTCTAGAAAATTTGTTTTTTTAGCTATTGGAAAAAAATTAACTCAGAAATTTCCAATTTTTTTTCTAAAAAAAATTCTGAGATAAATCTGAAAATTTCTCAGGTTTTGACTTTTTGAAACTCAGAAATTTCCATAATTTTTCTGGAAAGTTTCTGAGATTAATCCTTTTTATTTAACACACTGGATAGTTTTCAGATATTTTATAACTGAGTGAACTATAAAGATTCATGTGAATTGAATTATTTAATAAGTTTAAAGCTTCAGTCCAACATTATTCGTCCATCTGTATAAAGATGCGTTGAGCTGAAAATCCGTCCAGAGCGCTGAGGTTCGGAGCGTTAGGCGGGGACCTGTGGGCGGTTCGGGCTGTTGAGTCACGTCCTGCTGGGCCCGGAGGGAGAACCGGGCATGCTGCTGCCTGCACCGACCGGAGGGAGCCTCCTCTTTGTTTCTTCACCCCGCCTGAGGCCGCGGGGCCCGCCGCTCCTTGCGCCTCATCCTGGGCTTCAGATCGGCACAAACTGCCGCTTCCTATCACGAACTGGGCCGGTGGGCTTCAGAGGGTCTGACCTGACACTTCCTTCTTCCACTAAATTTTAAATAATAAAAATAAAAGTCACGGAGTTCCTCCAGTCTGTCCCTGATCTGCAGGCTCCGCCCACTTACCTGGGACAAGGTGAGACAGGGAGATGTGGGGGAGGAGAGAGAGGAGCAGCGGAGAGAGGCAGAGCGCGCGGCAGGATCTGGACCCACCTGGACTCTACGGCCAGGTAAATACAACGGAGGCGGAACCGGATCCGGGTCACAGTTCTGCGGTTCCGACTCAAACGGATCCTCAGAACCGTTCAGCTCTTTGTTTTCAAGAGAAAAACAGTTTTTAGTTCATCCTGTTGGTTCTCAGCAGAACCTTGACAGAACATCTGGAGCTGAGAGCGGTCAGAGCCGGAACCGGATCTGGTTCGAACCCCGTCCCGCCCGGATGTGCTGCTGTAAACTGATCCGCATGAATGAACGGCTGCTAACTGATCTGAGAGCAGCTCCAGGTCTGACCTGGTTCATGATCCAGTTGAGCAACCGGTCGGGTCTCCAGAGCTCTGAGGTTCTGCTCTGCCAGCCCAGCTGCAGTGTTTTTCTGCTGGGGTTCTAACGCGGTTCTGATGGTTCTGGTTCGGCCCAGAGACGGGCCTGCAGATGTCGGGTCTCTAATGCCACCGCTGCTGCAGCATCCGCTAAACTTTCTCAATATTTTCTGCACAAACTCGTTTGTTTTGTTTTTCATGCTGCTCGTGGCGCCCCCTGTTGGTCACTGGTGGAATGCTTTGGCTTAATGAACAAACAATATCGATATTTTCCAACCGATTCGTTTGATTATTACTGACCATAAATCTTAGTTAATTAAGGCAGTAAATGATCATAAATTGACACATTATTGTTATTTGGAGATTTTATTTGCATTAGTTTTGGTTCTGATCCCAGTTTAGACCAGTTGGCTCGGACAGAGACAGATTATGACCTTTAATTGAACTAACCCGACACTAAACCTCTGGCTGGTAATAGGTATTATTAAGGTCATGTAGTTTGTAACATGAACAGATTCTGGAAAGCTGGTTTGGATCAGTGGTTGTCTGACGGTTTGGGAATTATTACTTTGTCTGTAGCTTTTGAATGATTCCTGGACTTTTTTTGGGAGTTCTGGATCTCCAGCGGTCACTGGGTGAGACGGAGTACCACCTGGACCAGGCTTTAGATCGATTCTGATCAGTTCTGGATCAGTTTCAGACTTTCTTTGCCATGTTTCTGTCTGCTTTTAACTGATTTCTTACTTTAATGTTTGGGTTTTAAACAGCAGGTTAGCTCCATGGTACGTAGAAAAAAGGGATTAAATATCTGACAAAAACAGAGAAATGTTGAGATAATTCTCACAAATTTTCTAGAAAAACATGGAAATATATGAGATTCAAAAGTTGAAAATTCTCAAATGTTGAAACAGAAAAATGTCCAAAAGTCAAACATCTTTTACTTTTGAAACTCTGATGTTTCCATGTATTTTTTTCTAGTAAATCTCTGATTTATCTCAATTTTGAGAGAAGTTTTTTTTTTTTTTGGTGGAAATGTACTCCTGATTTTATATCAGTCCAAATACGCCGTTGGGAATCTGGATCAACATTTGAACAGTTTCAATAAAGACTCATTATTTATTCCAACATGTTCACATCTAACTTTAGGCCCGTTTTAATCAATTTTTGTGCATATCTGAGTTGTAAAAATAACTTGAGGCAGAGTTTGTTGAGAGTGAGTCCAGTTTGGTCTGAAATCTTCTTTTTCCAATCCTGTTTTTAAAAAACATGAAACTTCCTGCTCTGGAGACTCATTTCTTCTTCAAGCTGTAGAGAACATCTAACTTCATATTTAAGCTCTAATAAGGAGCCCAAATAACGGATAGAGTCACCTGACCACGTGTTTTCAGTCATGCCACTGGAGGGCGCTCTCACTGCGCAGTCACTGGTTCCAGTCTGATTTCCAGGCTGGTTTCCAGTCAGAGGCAGGAGCTGTCTGGTCATGTAGAGTTAGATTCCTCTGGTATGTTGGTGAGTCACACCCTGAAAACACACACACCCCACACACACCCCACACACACCTGGTGAGCAGGTAACCAGCTGATCCTCTGTATCCTGCAGGCAAACAAGCAGCATCGGTTCATTAACGCTCCGCTGGAGAAGAAAGATGAGGGGAAGTGAAACATGCTCTTGTTTTGATCAGAAATAACAAATAAATCCCAAATTTTATGACTAAGCGACCAATAGCCGAAGCTGATTTAGGATAAGATAAACTCAACAAAACTAGCCAGAAATTAGACATAAACCGTAACAAGGTTATCACATTAATGTTAAAGCAGAAAAAATATTAAATATTGAAATATTTTCAGTTTTTTAAATAATTATATTGCTGTAAGTTTTACAAGTTCTCTATCATAATTTATGTCTTTGCATTTTTATCTTTTGAACCTGCAGAATCTCAAATTCACCACAAAGAGAGTAACAGAAATCATTTAAATTGGTTTTTAGCCATTTAGGTATAAAACGGTGAAAGCTGCTGTTCTGAAAGAAATGAGCCGTTTTCCTGCAGCGTTTTGCTGTTGCAGATGAAAACCAACGTGGCAGGTGTGACAAAAACAGAATGATCTGAGCAATTTAAAAATACTCCACCAGAACATACTGTCACTTATGATCAGGAAGTTTCTGATGTTCTGGAAGCTGCTGTTCATCATGTTTTAAAATACAGAAATAACTCTCAGCCGTTCTCATTCTGACAGTTCAGAGAAGTTGCCGCCGGTGCTGAATGGAGCCGCCATGTCCAGTTCTGTTATTATTAGCTGTGTCCGAATTCAGG